TCAAGTGCTATATGTTAGGAAATAACTTCCCTTGTAGAGTTGGGAATATTATTATTACTTTACATAAATGATGTGAGGAGATTTTGAGATATTAATAAATACTATTCTCTTCAAATCTTTCTCTTGGCTGTCATAAACTCATCATGCTAAGCTTCTCCCATAATCCAGCCAACCCCTTTCTCCTTACCCTGAATCTTATTGCTTCAATAATTTTTGCACATGGACATAAAGTGAATCATATATTCTTTGAAGGGGCAGTCATGCCTGATTTTATTTTTTCACACATAAGTTTAAAAAGTATTCTCAAAGTTTTTATTTTTCATGCACAGCTCTCAGCTGAGTGATACTTGGCAATGATGCCACCTTTCACTGTGGCATAATGCAGAGAGGCAGGGCTGCACTGAGGTTCTGATATGGTCTTTGGAGTCTGAGATCCAAGGCTGGTTCCCTGCCTAACCCAGACTAACATGCCTGGGTCTGTTTCCTCACCTGTAAATAGGAATTCTGCCTTAACTTCTAGGGCTGTGAGAACTAAGTTAGATGAGTTATGTAGAGTGCTGGGCTGATATGGTAGATTTTGAAAATGATTCTCCACTTCTCTCTGACTCCATGACATTCTCTAATGTGACTATGGAGCCCTGCCCATCAAAAGGTGGGGTCTAGTTCTCCATCTCCATCTCCAACCTGAGTTGGCCTCCTGACTTGCTTTTAAAAGTAGTTGAGTCCTCAAGGGACCTTGTTCCCACTCTCCCTCTTGCAACCATGCAGAACCAACCTGTGAATGATGAGACACACGCTCAGCAGCTCCCTAGGTGACTCAGCTGATGGTGGGCCAGTACTCAGAGGACAAGATCATTAGACTTGCCCAGCTGGGTCCAGACCAAACTGATGATCCACAGACTCACAAGCTAAATAAATGGTAGTTGTTTTAAAAAACGCCATTATGTTTGGGATGGTTTATTTTGCATAGCAACAGATAACTGATCCTGTGTGTGTGTGTGTGTGTGTATGTGCGCGCGTGCACACGTGTGCATACACACTCATATACATATATATGCAATTTCACAATGAACAGTGGCTAGCTATTATATTTGGGGAAAGGGTACTTAATTGAAAATGGATTTCTCCATACAACTAAAATTTAGGCTTTAGGGAGTAGTAGGAAGATGACTGAACTATGAATTGGGACTGTTACAGTCTGGACCTTGTAACTTTTCCAGTGGGCATCTGTATGAACTTAGAGAAATCACTGAACCTCTTTGAGCCAGTTTCCTCATCTATAAACTACAGTGTCATACCAAGTGACTATTAAGTTTCTTTTCAGCTAGAGAAAGGAATGAGGGTTCATTTTTTCCCCAGAACACATATTTAACAAATCTGAACCACATTTAACATTTTTCTGTAGAAAAGGTTTTAATCACAGACACCTTCGCTGTCTTGTCTTTGTTGTTGAGCAGTGGGTTGTGACTACATACTGCTTGTGCTAGTCACAGATTGAACCTATAACATGGACCTCCTTGTGGTGGACCAGGAACCCATGCAGTTAGGCTCATTAAGAAAGGGACATGCAATCATATCATATAAGTTCTCCTGGGAACTCAGTATGTGGCTCTTAACAATAATTTGCAGGTGTAGGTCAACTTCTTCTATTCATTTTTAGGCTGCAGTAAATGTTTTAGAGAACTGCAGTTGTTGGCAACTGACCATCAAAAAGAAGGGACACTATTGTACAGCTATAAAGAATCAGATCTTTGTATGTCTTGCAAATGAATGACCAAGATAGGTACTCAATTATCAAACTTGGGGAAGGAATTACCATCAAAATTTTAGAAAATTCAAATTCTTATTTATCAAATTCTTTGTTTATCATAAATTTTTTTGTGTGTGCTGTGATGGAAAAAAGCTATGGGGAGAGGCAAAGTAACTATAATCAGCAGAAGAACATTGCACTGAAATGTGGCTTATGTTTATCCACCTTGAATAAAATGTCCGGTCCTTCTGAAATGTCATGTGAATTAATATTAAAAACAATTTATTGGATTGGTTAAAAGTTTTTTGCAGTTAAAATTGTAAAGAGCATTTGTTCCCTAATTTTTTTTTTTTATAATTGACTCACTTCTCTCTCCCCCCCATCATGTGGATTTTTGCAGCATCTGCCTTTGGCATTATTTGTATCTCCCTCCTCTCATTCTTATCACAGCAGCCGAGTGAACTTTCTAGAATAGAGATCTGCTCTGCTTCAAACCCTTCAATGGTGTAAGATTCCTGAAGATAGGGGCTGCGTCCACACTTCTGCCAACTGCCTGTTGTCTCTGTGTCTACACACATGCTGTCTCCAGAGCCAGACCAGGGTTTCATTTAATTCTGGAGAGTCACTTGCACACCTAATAGAACAGAGCTCACTGCTTGTGGTAAAGTGTGAGGCAAGATTATCCCTTTTCTTTTATGTTAATAAACACTCATTGCAACTCGGGAGCATGTTTCTTAGGTGCCTCACATCACTCTGAGTCTGTATTTTGAATTATTTTAATTATCTGCTTCATAGCACATGTTCATCATCTCAGTGTTTTAAGTATGTTTTAGGAGAGGATCATTTTGATGGTCTACAACCCTGGAAATTCCAAGCTCTGTGGGATGAGGATATTCACAGGTGAAAAGGATATGAGTAAATGGAAGATGTTAGCATTCAGCTTACCCTCTTAAATAGCATTCAGGAATAACTAGAGCAAGAAAGGTTACAAGTTGGATGGGTCAGTGGTCAAGAGCAGGTATTCTAGAAAGAACCTCTCTGACCTGCAGGCAGGTAAAGGCTCTGTGCCTGCCCTCCTCCTAGGATGGATCAATCAATTCTTCCCAATACTTCTTTTCTGGACACCTAGGAAATCTATATGTAAAGAGCTAATCTGTGTAACGATCAAAAGAAGAAGAAGACAGCAAGAAGTAGGTACCACTTAACCAAGATCCCCTAAGAACCCAAGATTCAGGGTTATTGGAAAAGGTATGTAACTAGGAGAATCTGAAGCAGTCCAGGGAGAGGAAACAAGCTCTTAGAAGGTTAGTATTAAATTATTAGAATCTGGAGTTCTTTGCAAGAAGTGAACTCCTCGGGCACCAGGGCAGGGCAGTTCCAGGAGCAAAGCAGATAGCACCTGCTCTGCCCTTCCCTGGCCTGGCACTGGATTCTGGCCAGAGGTTAGCAAAGTGTTTTCCAGACTCAAGAAAGGTGCTGGGTGGGAATTTCAGAGAATCATTCTATTTTCCTAAATATGTGTTTAGTTGACAAGCAAGTTTTTGTTGTTTTAAATTCCAGATTTGCAAAAGGTCTTTGGAACACAGTTAAGGTTGGTCATATTTGTCTTTAGACATCATTAAATAGCTAAATCTTTAGAACTACTGATAATGAGGGCTAGGTTGAGGTATGAGACAGACATTTATTTCATGCTTACAGATTAAATAAAGGAGCAAGATCAGAGGATGATGAGCAAGGATAGAGTGGGCAAGGATGAGAAATAAATCACACCTCCCCTTCCTGTGTCAGTGTTTGCTCCAATACCCTCAGTGGCCAGTGCAGCTTGGTATTAACTGACTTTTCACACTTCAGAGAAACAGAAATAACCTGGGATCGCTGCAACTTTATTTTTTTTCAGTGCTGTGGATTAAACCCAGGGCCTTATGCATGCTAGCCAAGGGTTCTGCTACTGAGCTACATCCTCAGTCCTCTAATTTTACAACCTCAAATTATTGTTTCACTCATCCATCTCAGGACAGGGACTTTACTACAGAAGGTGTTCCATGGACACTGGCATTTTGATTGAGAAGCTTTAACTCTTAGTAAAAAATCCTTTTCATAGTATTAACTAGAAGATTAAATAGGAGAAAAACTCAGCAAATACAGAATGCATTAGCTTTAAAAAACAGCAATCACTTCTACTTCTAATTCTATTTTTGATTGTTTCTCTTCTCAGTAATTACTCCTCACAATAAATTGGTCACCCAGGATATCCACAAGCAATAGTGAGAAGCACCATCAGTTACTCTCTCCCATAAATGTGTCAGGAAGGAAATAAATACCCTATTTAATGATCCTACCTCCTCATGGAACATTGACTCCCTCTAGATGGGGTAAATATCTATAATCGGACGGAAAACAGAAGGTACTAAGTCACCAAAAGGAGTTTTTGTTTTGATTTTAATGATAATTACGGTGCTGGGGGCGCGGGTTTCACATCGATCTACCTCCTATTATACGAAAAATTCTTCCGCTGTCATTTTTGTGAAAATCTCACCTCATCCAGGCGGCCAAGGTCAAAAGGACCCAAGTGATTCACCTGGGCGACACTTACCTAGTTATTAAATATTTAGCAGTTTGTGACCGTTTAACCGTTTGCACCTGTCACCCTCACTGCACTAGGTGTTCCTCGTAGCGTCGCATCCTCTTCCCTCAGCCCCCTGCTCACCCACAACGGACGCCAGCACCCCAGGGCGGGGCAAATCCTGGGACCCAGGGGCGGCGGTCAAATCCCATTTCCGTTTTATTAAAAAACACTCAGATGCTTAATCATGGGGCGGGGGAAGGGGCCGTGGAAATAAGGGGGAAATCTCTTGCAGTTTTCCCGAGCAAAGTTCTCAGGCATTGTTTGAAAGTTCATTAACTAGGGATTTAATTTTAAAAAGTTTCCTACAGCCATTTAGATGCTGAGCTTTACAAACATCTTGCTCTTTAGTTTGGGGAATTTGTAGAAGTCCTCGCGTCCCCGGTTTTGCCGCTCTCTCCGCGCCTTTGTTAAATTACGCGATTCCACCCCCCACCCCAAGTCTTCAAAATGCAAATATCCTCAAGCTCCCTCCTCCCCGCCCACCCCCAGGGCCCAAAGAAATCAAGAATAAGTAGGACCCTCGCGGGAAGTCGGGGCCCCCCTGCCCCAAAGCCCATTCCGCAGGAGTGAAGCACTAGCGCTCGCACGGCGGCGCCCGACGCGCTGGAGGGCGACTGTCCCTACCTGGGGCCGGGCGGCTGCGGCTGCTCTGGGGTCGTGGCGCCCATGGCTTCGCTGGCCTTGGGTGGCCGCGCTGGGAAAACGCGAGCGGCTCAGCGGCGACCGGAGCCCGCGGCGCCCGAGCTGCGGACCGGGCACGGTCATTGGGCCGGCGCGTCACGTGGCCCGGCCCGGGGCGAACCTCCGCGGTACGCGTAACCCTTTACCTGCGCGCCCCTTGCCGCGAGCTCTCGGGGGTACCGCGGCGCCACCGCTGGAGCCGGACGCCGGACCTCCCGGGAGCCGGGGTTGGTCATCCCTGGGCAAAGGAGCAGCAAATGCAGGAGCTGGGTCTCAGCGCCGACACCCAGCTTCTGTGCCAGCTGTGGCCGTCCTGGGAAACTTTTTGGTGTCTACTTTTTTATCGTGCTGTTCGGAGAAGGGAGCTCTCCCCATGATTGGGGACTTAAGTGGCGGGTTGGGGATAGATAAATGCACCTCCTGGCAAATAAATTTGTACCCTTGACCTTCATGTATTTGGAGTTTTTCGGTCTCCTTCTCAGTTTGGCATCAGCTATTTAATCCTGTGCGCACACTTATCCATCGCCTGCCTTTTTGGCTAGGTGACCTGAGAAACAGCGAAGACACTAACAGGATCTTTTCCAGGGAAGCTGCACACACTCGCCTGCCCCCTCAAAGGTCACAGTGGGAGCTCAGTGAACCCAAGGTTCTCCGCCCTCGTTTCCTTCTACTACTATGTCTTCTTTTGGTTGATGCGTGTGTCGGGGGGCGGGTACTAGGATAATTCTTTGCAACACGTCATCCATCTAATGAGCTCTCGAAGTTGTTACAGTCCCTGTATCTACGGTGGTGGGTGGAGAACTAATTGCCTTTTCCGAAATTCTTTCCACCTGCCCTCGTGGGGCTTGCCAGGAAAATGTATTAAGCAATTGCGCCATCTAGCTTACTTCCTTCTCTCTTCCCTTCAATCTATCCAGGGAGAGAGGATAAAACCAGATGTTGGAGAAGGAACTGGGCAGAATCCTATTTAGAGATGCACTTACTGCCCTTAGTTTTCCAATCTGCCTGCTTTAGTGGTTCCAGCTGCATTCACGCCCATAGGAAGAATGCGAACCTGGTGCTGCAACGGAAGACAATTCCCTAAAGCCGTTTTGTAAATACTGTTTAAAACCTCCTCTGCGACCTCCCAACCACAAGTTTCACTGCTTCTGCCCGCATTTGCCACGTTTATTTTTTATTTTTTAAACTTTCCCAGTGTCCTAGTGGCTGCTGCACTTACAAATGGAAGATTAATAAGGAAGTTATATGTTGTTTTATGTCATTTCTGATAAACCCCCTTGGCCACAATAAATGACTCTCATGTCCCAGGTCTAGTTGGTGCCTTAGTAAAGTCCACAGAATATCAGTGCATTCATCAGTTAGGTTATTCTGACTAAACAACATTTTGGTATTTGTCTTGGGTTTTAACAGTATTTCTTAGACTGGCCGAATCAGTATTAATCTGATGCAGTAAAAACACGAATTTTGGGGCCCTTCCCCAATAAATGGGTTCAGAAATGTGGCATCTGGGGAAGGTGAAGGAACTTGTGTTTTCATAGGTGATACACACTGGTTTGAGAACCTCTGCTGTGAGTGGCTTAGTTGCCTTCATCTAGGTCAGGTGGGCATTCTGTGTAGACAGAAGTGCTATTAGTATTTGTAATCTCAATTAAATGGTGCATATAATTTCTCCAGTTGATACACTAGAGCCAAATTCTGTATGTTTATACAAATGTAATTCATGATTCACACAAGTCACTTGCCAAATGGAGATCTGAAGGGGACCCTGGGTGGGGGAGGATACAGAAGAAAATACATGTTGATGCATGTTGGAATAAAAATACCATAATTTACTTAGTTTTTAAGTTTGTTCATATTTTCATTAGCATATAAATTGTTCCAAACTAATGTTATGGAAGATAGGAAAGTGAGTTTGTTTTGAGTAGATTTGTCAATATACTTCCAAATTTGTCCAGTAGCTCTAAAAAATAACTTTTTAAAAAATGTTATGGTTATCAGTTTACATTGTGACAGCAGTGACATCCTATGCCTTATTGGCACTGTAGAAGGGGCCTCCTGAAAAAAAAAAGACAACACCGATCGGATTCTTTATCTCAGTTTTCTTCATGGGATAAATGGCATATTACCAACTGGGATCCTTTAAACAATCCAGGACAAAGTTTGTTTTCCCTGCATTTGTTTCCTATTCATTTTACATTTGTAACTCTACCATCTACCTAATTTAAATTGGAAGTGGAATTGAGTTTCCCTCTCCTCCATCACCAGTTAAGTACTGAAATCACTCTAAATCTCTGCTTCTCTTAGCATTCTCACTGCCACTGTCCTATCAAATTCTCATACTTTCTGGCCTAGATCCTTGCAATAGTCTTTAAGGGTCTTGGGGCTTCTGAGCTTTCCATCTCGAATCTATCCGACAAAACACGGCCTGCCATTCATCCCAAATACCATTCCAACTAGGCCACTCCCCTTCTCAAAAACATTTCAACTACTCCTTATCAACTACTTATTGAGTCTAAAATCCCAGCATAGCCTTTAAAGTCATTCAAAATATGCTTCAACTCTTTTTTTTTCATTCAGCTTCTCTAACCTGAAATGCCTGATATTGATGGATAAGTACTACTTACTTTTCAAGCCTCAGTTGCCTATTCCTCCTGTTCATCCTTTTTGATTCCCAGGTAGTTCTAACTGCTCCCCTGGATCCTCAGCATCCAGCTTTCCCTTTTATAAACAACTTTTTTTTAAACAGGGAGAGAGAGAGAAAGAGAGAGAGAGAGAGAGAGAGAGAGAGAGAGAGAGAGAGAATTTTAATATTTATTTATTTTTTAGTTTTCAGAGGACACAACATCTTTTTTGTATGTGGTGCTGAGGATCGAACCCGGGCCACACACATACCTGTCGAGCGTGCTTCCGCTTGAGCCACATCCTCAGCCCAATATAAACAACTTTTTAAAAAATATTTTTAGTTATATATGGACACAATACCTTTATTTAATTGTTTATTTTTGTGTGGTGCCAGGAATCAAACCCTGTGCCTCATGCATGCTAGGCAAGCGCTCTACTGGTGAACCACAAACCCCAGGCCCTATCACAACTTTATTTTAATGATCCAAAATGAAAACAGCCTAATATCTCTCATCAGATGAATCAAAAAACAGATTACAGTACAAACATAAAATAGAACACTGCTGCTCAGAAATAAAAATAAGTGTTCTGTTCATAAACACAATATATGGGTGAAGGTATACTGAGTGGCAGATACCAGATCAAAAGGAAGACAAACTTATTATATACTAGTTATATAAAGTTTAATTTCTATATTTATAGAAAATGTAACATGAAGTGAGGAATAAGACACCCGTTAATGTTTGTCTTGGAGAAAGAGTGTGTGGAGAGACTGCGAAAGGGGTAATCGAGGAGCAAGGCAACTTTGGGGGAACGAGGCATAAAC